CATTATAAAAAAAGAAAAGAAAATAGCAATTGCTAGAGAAGGGCAAAGGCCATTCTTGGAATAATTAGAAAGGATACTGAAACTCAAATTATGATTGATTGATAAATAAAGTAATTCTATTATATAAAACTACATTGGCACTGCACTTGGAATACTGGTACAGTCCTGAGAATCACATCTGTAGCACAGCCACAGACTGGAAAGCTGGAGGTCTGAAACCTTCTCTTCCAGAAGCCCTCTGGGTCTTCACACCCTGGCTTTGCCACCTTTTCAGGTAGCAATTTTGTAGTACCCAGTGCCACCATCTATCTTCGAAGGAACACCTCATCTGGCCTCCTGTCCCTAAACCCAGTGTGTGAGAAAGATAGGGCAGTCACAAACTATGCTTGCTTTCTGACACTAAAAGGTCAACAAGCGAAAGATGAAATAATTTCTGTTAGTGCAACCCTCGTATGCTTACAGTGTTGAGGAGTGTGACTGGAGGAATCAATCCTTTTGTCGGCCATTCCCAGGAGCCAGACCAATCTCCCAGGAGATAAATAAAATGTAATTTTATTTTAAAAAGGAAAAGGAAGGTGAGAGAAATGTAAAGATCGTCTTTTAACTTTAAATATTAAAATGCATATATTCAACATTGAAAAAAGGGGATTACAGAACTGTTCAAATTATGGGAGAACAGAAACTTTATTTAAAAAAAAAGAAAAGGCAATAAAGTTCCAGGTAGATAACAGGCCTGGTCTGCTACATTATAATCATCACAAGAAAATGTTAAAGAGAAAATAAAAATTAGATCCTCGGAACAAGCCTGAAGTATGATTCAAAACTGACACAAATACAATTCCTTGCCAGCTTTGTTCCCTCTGTTTTCAATTAACCTGGACTTAGCCACAAATAGTTGAAAGGTACCTTAGTCCTATCCCCTGCTCAGGATCCACTACAGCGTCTCTGTCAGATGATCATCCAATCTCTGTTTCATGACCTCCATAAGGTCCATAAGGAGAACTCATTATTTCATGAAGCAGCCTGTTCCATTGGCTGACAGCTCATGCTGGCATCCAACCTGAACCTACTATCTTGTAGTTTTCACCATTGGTTTTGGCCCTGCTCCCTGGGGCAACAGAAAATAAGTCTGCCCATTTTTCTATGTAATAATCTTTCATATATATGAAGACTGCTCTTATCTTTAATCAGTTTTCTCTTCTGTAAGCTAAATAGACCCAGATCCTTTAACTGTTCCTCACAGGGCTTGGTTTTCAGGCCTCTCACCATCCAAGCCCACCTCTGAACTTATTCCAATTTGTCCATTTTAACTGTGTTGCTAGGATCCAGGGCTGAGTCCAACTATTACTTCCTGTGATCTAGACTCTATGGTCCTGTTAATGCATCCCAAGATAGCATTTGTCTTTTCACCTTCATCACACCGATTCATGTTTAACTAAACATACTTTAAAAAAATCATTTTAATGTGTTGTTAGCTGCCCAGAGTTGCATTTGCAAGATGCATGGCCATATAAATCAATTTACTAAACTATCTTGGGGTCATCAAGGACCCACGGATTCTTTTCTTATGTAGTACTCCCAAGCTAGGTTTCCTGTACCCCATACTTCTGCCTTTCATTTTTCCTACTCAGATGAAGAGAACATTACAGTTCTCCCTATTAAATTCCATCCTACTCATTTCAGCCTACTGTTCAAGCCTGTCTTCTCCTCTGAACTATTAGCCACTCGTCCCAATGTTGTGTCATTTGCAATTGAGAGGCACCTGCTCAACTCCCTAATCAAGGCAGACAGCAGAGGGGACAGGGCAGAGCCCAGCGGCTTTTCACTTGATGCTTTCCTCCAAACTGAAGGAGAGCCATTAACAAGCACTTTTTGGCTGCAGTCATTTATCCAATTGTGAGCCTATCTAACAGTAATAGATGTGGATAAAGATGTATAGGAGGTATGGATAAAGTGGACAAGAAAAAAACTATTTTCTTTTTCTCAAACTACTAGAACTAGAGGTCACCCAATGAAATTGAATCCTGTAACAACTGGGACAGACTATCTATCTATCTATCTATCTATCTATCTATCTATCTATCTATCTATCTATCTATCTATCTATCTATC